GGTTGCGGTGCTTCTGGGAAAACAACGCAGGGGCCCATACACTCAGGGATATAAAACAAAAATTAATTAATAAATTAAATTTAAATGTGAAACCCGACTACTTGGACCTGCCGTGGGGGGTAGGCGGCAGGAACGTAGCTTCAAACGCGCAATTTTCATCATAATACGTTCGTTCGTTTTTCGAAAATTAAAAAAAAAAGTGTGTACCATGTACTCGAAATACGCAAAATGGTAAATGAAAAATTACTTTTAACACTACCAAATAAACTAAGTTACAATTAATATCAAAAAAAGTTTAATGCACAATGAGCCTCCGAAGTTATTATTCACTGCACATAGCACTGTTGGCACTGTATAAAATCTGAAAAGAAACGAACTACATTAAAAATTGATTAAAAACAACTACATTAAATAATTATAACAAAGTCAATTGCAAATAATTCCGACATAAGTTCAAATATAAATTTTAATGCTGTAATAGTTTTCTAATTCTAATCTTTTTTTCATTATTATTGACTTTGTAGTCAAATATATTAGCCATTTTCAATTAAAATGATTTTGTACAATTATTATGCAATATTCATAGTTTAATGTTATAACTTAAATTAAATTATATTTACTATACTGCTTAGTTCTTATTTGTATTTTTAATTTAATAATTAATATCAATATTTAAATCAAATGTATATTCAAATAAATTATATAAAATTGAATTTTATGTCATAAAATCATCATACCTAAACTACAATGGAATTATTTATATTTATATAATATAAAATATATACATATACTTAGATACATTAATATATATATATATATATATATATATATATATGTACTTGCGCTTTCATTTGATTTATTTTTATTATTTTATTGTATTATAATTAAAAAAAAATTTGAAAACCGTTTTTATTTATATCATTGGATTTACACTACTTTCTATATTTTAATATAATTTTGGCCGAAGTGTTATTTCAAACCATTAACATCAACTCTATGGCAAAAATTATTTTGAAATAGAAAAAATAATATAAATCGATTTATATAAATAATGAACAGTTTCCATTTTTTTATTTATAATTCACTAAATAAAATTAAATAAATCAAGCACAAGCAAAAACACCATGCATAAATCATATATTCAAAAACTACTTGAAAGAAGTTTTGGAATAATATTATTATAATTGACTTACCATTCAGTGTAGTATCACCACGAGGTCCCAACACAAAATGAGTTAACATGTTTCTGCGCAAGCTTTTATGGGGGCAAAAAGGCGCCAAAACAATATAAATCGTTACCCGTTAATAGCTATACTCGCTTATGTCGTTACCAACATATTCAAAATCAAATTCAAATTCAAATCTTATATTTTTGTCATAGTGTTTGGTTGTTATCTTATCAATAAATAGTTTTGGGTATTAGGCAATTGATAGCGCTAGTGTTGGCAAAATCACAGATAACCTGTCATTGTTTATTTACATTTGGAGTTTTGAAGAAAATAAACAAATAAATTCAGTGTTAAAAGAATTTGAATATCTTTTAGAAAGATCATAGTGATTATATGGATACATATACCTAATTTTAATTAAGTCATAATTTAGTACATTAATATAAAGTGAATCTCTGGGAATCTGTGTATGTTATTTGTCAAATTAATTACTCAATGTCTATCTATGTAGACAGATTGTAATTTATAAGAAAATAAAAAAAAAAAAATTGTGTACTTGGTATGAAATTATATACATTAAAGATGAAATTAAATTTTGAAATCATGTTCTATTATACATGTATATATACCTAACATTATGTATGCATTTAAACGTGACATATGCTAAATAACATGTACATTAATTAATTTATTCTATTTGTACCTAACCTTACAAGCAATGGACTCCGCTGCTCCAAACCCTTGTATGACAGTGTCAACTGTCAGTGGCTTGTGTTGTTATTGCGAAAAAGTGTTGCAGATGACACAAGTTTTGACACAAATATGTACACAATATGTCAAATAACTAACCTAAAAAATGTTATAATATAATAGAAGATACATTTTTCGTAAATAGCTTTACAGGACTTATATTAAATGATACGTATTAACAATCTAGTTACTACGTGTTACTGCAAGCAAGCGTTGAGTTAAATATAATTGTTTCCAAATTATATTACGTTTTAAAATGCCTCAAGGTAGAAGAAAAGTACCATTTAGCGGCAAAGCTAAAAAATTGCAACTACAAATGAAACGACAAGGCCAAAGTATATGAACATATTTTACCCTCGATTCTAGAACATATTAACAACATTTTTTACCAATTTAGCCTCAAAATCTTCTGTTCTACTGAAAACAACACAAAGCCAAAGCGAGGATGATTCAAATTGTCAAAAAATTGATTTCCACGCTTCTCAAAATAACAGAAACACAAGCAGATATGCGTTGAAGTTCAACAAAGAGTCTGATGCTGAGTTAAAGAAGCAAAAAGAATTCGGAAGAGCTGCTCTGGAAATAAGAGATCATAAAGCTTTGGAAATCGAAGAACACGATTATTTTAAGAACTTGGATTTTCCTAAAAGACCACCTTGGAACTACAATATGAGCTTAGAAGAAATACAGAAAAGTGAACACAGATATTTCACAGTAGATATTGCAACTTCATTGTCGGCAAATTTTAATTCTATATCATTTGCTTAAAATTGATGATTCATTTCAGGAGTATGTTACCGAGTTGGAAAAGAGCCATGAAAATTTAAGTTACTTTGAATTAAACTTGGAAACTTGGCGTCAACTTTGGAGAGTGCTAGAAATGTCTGATATTATATTAACAATTACTGATATCAGATATCCCGTAAGTGCACATGAATTCATTCATAAACTTTGGATTAAATATGTTAATACGGTTTTATTCTAGTCACTGATGTTTCCTCCATATTTATATGAATATGTAACAAAGGAGCTAAAAAAGCAAATGATATTTATACTGAACAAAGTAGATTTGGTCCCTGCTCCGTTAGTTTGCGCATGGTACAACCATTTCAAAGACAAGTACCCTGAAATGCATATATTGCTGTTTACGTCTTATCCGGGTTATAATGTTGTCAGAGGTTCAGCTAAAAAAACTGGTGCGTACACCCAAAACCAATCAATATTGATTTGTATATTATAAATTCTTCATCATCGTTCAGGTTTGAAATCCCGTAAGCTCAAAGGCAGGCCCCAAATGTCGACAGAAGGTGCTGAGTGCTTGTTGGCAGCTTGCAAAACAATTGTGAAAGATGCTGTCGATTTATCAAGTTGGGAACAAAAAATTAAAGAAGAAAAGAATTCTTCAAGCAACACCGAAGAGCTAGAAATAGAAACGGTGATAAATCAACAGACCCAAGACACTGCTTTTGTTGAGCATGAGCTGTACAAGAATGGTATTTTAACTATAGGCTGTATCGGTCAACCGAATGTTGGAAAATCATCTTTGATGAATGCATTGATGGGCAAAAAGGTAAATAATAATAATATATCACCTATTTACACTTGTAATTGCATAATTTTGTTTTAGGTAGTGAGTGTCTCAAAGACTCCGGGGCACACTAAACATTTTCAAACAATTTTTCTGACAGATACTGTCAGACTTTGCGATTGTCCAGGTTTAGTGTTCCCTTCGTTGGTTCCACGATACATTCAGGTGCTTATGGGGTCATATCCGATTTCTCAATTGCGTGAAACGTTTAGCACTTTGAGATTTGTTGCAGAAAGGTATAATAGAAAAATAGTTTAGTATATCAGAATTGTCAAGCGACAACTTTTTAGGTTAGATTTACCTAAATTATTGCATTTAATTCACCCCGATGGAGACGAGGAATGGTCTCCTTACAACATTTGTGAAGCATGGGCTATTAAACGAGGATTCCTGACAGCACGTGCCGCAAGACCTGATATTCATCGAGCCGGTATCAATTTGTTGCAGATGTGTTTAAGCGGTGTTATTTGTT